AGGAATTTAATAACATTTTAAATACATATATAAATATATATATAGACATATATATATATAGGCCAATCATCTATATATGTATATATATGCACATATAAGGCGGCGTTCTTGCTTGATTGAATAACAATTCTATTTTGGGGCAGAGCCAAAACAAAGACATCAATGAAATGAATGAAAGGAAATAAAAGGAAATGATATGAAAGGTGTGTCTCACGGGCACATTTATTGATTTGTTTAGATTTTTAGGTCGCGCTTTGACTAACCCATCGCCCATCACTGAAATTAAATATTAAACATTTGATTTGCTGTCAAATGGCAAAATCTGAAAAGCTATCAAAATACATAAATATTTTAGGCAAATTTGTTGCACAGTGGTGCAAGAGCCCAGCAAATATCTGGGATGTTTTAATTTGCAATTAAAATTATTAATAATTTAATTACATTTTATGTTTGATCTTAATGAACATAATAAACAGTTAATAACAATTTTAAACTCCCTTTTTAAATAAAGAAAGAAAAAAAACAAAACAAAAATAAATAAAGAAATTCAATGTTCTATACATATTGATTTTCTTTTATTTGTATTTCTACAATTTCTTTAAGTCTCGTACATATCTCATACATCTTATGTTCTTATAAATGTCTAACAGTTCATTCAAAATCCTAAATATTGATCCATGTCTTTTACATGCTATTTTTGTTATATTTAGACCACAGTGCGATGTCTGCCAGCTAATTTTAGCAAAAAGAATTGGAGCGCCGCACGATTTCACAGAGAAATATTTTAGGGAGCAGCTTTAGCTCCGAAGAACTAGAACTATAGCTAATAACCAATTGCCGGCAGTCGACAGACGACGCCTGACAGCCAATATATTTATTGACAGACAAAAGCGAGCATTCAAACTGAATTTCATGCGTAATCAAGTGTGGCTGCGCGCCTCTACTGCAGTTACATGATTAATAAGCTGCGATCGCGGGAATGCAGCAAACAGCTTTAAGCTAAATATGCGACACACATATGCCAGCGTCTGCTTTATCAGAGACGCCTTTCCGCCCGCACTTGCCCTTATCAATGCATAGCAATGGGTATATGAGCGTGTGCGTGTGAGTGTGTGTGTACGTGTGTATTTTTTATGGGGAGTAACAGCAGCTGCAATGACTAAAAATAAAACATTGCGTTCTCGAGTGGCAATGTCGAAAAATGGACAAATTGGGGGAGCATTGGGGGAAAGGGAGCAGCGAGCAACGAGCAGCGACCCAGCTGCATTGATTTCAGAATATGCACTTTCATTATTTATGACTTTTAATGGAAACCGAGAGAAGAAACCACCTGCAATTGCCTACGCCGACGTCATCGTAGAACAAATGCAAATCCCTCAAAGGAAGCCAAGTAGAGAGAAAGAGAGAGAGAGAGAGAGAGAGAGAGAGAGTAGCGGGAGTATGGGATTCAGTTGGCACAGCGCCAATTTAATGCAATACCTTTTTTGCTTTCCCTAGGTCGTCGCATTGTGAAAATACATAATAAACAAAATCGTTTTTGTGGGGGAGAGACTATAGAGTATAGAGTATATAAAAAATGAATAAGCACTATACGTATTTGTGTGTGTGCATGCATTTTATAACGCTGGATCATTGATTAGCCACCTTGAACTTAAGTGAGCGAGAGAGACAGAAAGAAAGAGAGAGGCAGTGGCCGAATGCTTACCTCTTCCAATATGCTAATCGTTTGACGGCAATCCGGCATGCGGGATGCAAACGTGGAGGTGGTGGGCGAATTGTAATCGTCGCGCGTCTCCTCCACGAACTCGGCGATGCCAATTAAAGCTGGCGGCATTTTGATATTGTTGTTGCTGCTTCACTTATTGTTGGGCACACTTTTTGTATCTTTGCTTTTTTTTTCGTAATTTTGCACACACTGGAAACGGCACAACGGGCGCGCACTAGCGAACTTCAAGGACACCCAGGCAACAACAACAGCAATAACAGCAACAAATAAACGAGTAACGACGATTGCAAGGCAAAGCTGAAACACGAACCGGAGACGACGAATGTGTTTTGTATAACGACGGCACAGCTGCTGCTGCTGCCGCTGCCGCTGCTGTGGGCAACAATAAAGGATCACACAACGAGGCAACAGGAATAAGCAGGATAACAGCGACAACGTTTACGTTTTGCCCTCTCTTTGTGTTTAGAGTGTGCGTCCCGTGTGTATGTGTGTATGCGTGTGTGTGCGTACTTGTATTGCGATACTGGTGTTGGCACGTTAGTCTGTATGGGAGCACTCACTTATTACTCTCTTCCTTTATGCAGCAATTTTCACGTTACTCCTTTTTGAGTGTGTGTGTTTTTTTTTTTCTATTCACTTTTACACACGCTGCCGTTGCACAGTTTTTTTTTTTACAAACCATTTTATTCTGTTTGTCGTACACTTTTTAGTTTTTTTTTCTGATCGCCTCATCTTGCAGCAAAATTCGAGTCGCACTCGCAGTCGAAGCGCAATTAATGTTACAGTAGTAGAGAAATGCGCCGCGCATATTTACACCCAACTGCAACGGGTTTTGTCACATTGCCATCACTCAAAAAATCATTACTAAACACTTCAACATAATTAACGGCAAATTGCTTTTTATTTATTTTTTTTTTTTATTTACAACTAGCCCGAACCGGAGTTGGGATTAAATATTATTAATATTGCAATTTTTGCTGCTCTGCTGGCGTCGTCGTTGTCGCGTACGATGTAGCAATGTTGTCTATGCTTCGCTATCCAAAATGTACTAAAATTGGCCAAAGTACAAAAGTCGTACAGCCAGCACAGAGGCAATGAGTTTCAGGGCTGGTCATAGATGATTCCACTCACGAGCATAGAATGGAGCTGGTTCACACATGAACACAAGTAGATTTTGACAAGAAAATACATACAATTTATTCAGAAACATACAATATATAATTTAATAAATTAATTTAATTTAATAATAATATTTTGTACACCGACTACATAATATATTCACATACCAAAGTAAAAATTCCGTACAAGATTTACCATTGAGCAGTGTTTGCGATAGTTCCTTAAAGAACCAAAAAAAAAAACAAAAAAGACTACAACAAGCAAGTTGAGCTGTTTAGTTCCATGAGTTTGATACTGTCACTCGTTACTGAGCGAACAAACAGTACGATTTATTTCCTTTTTGATCAGTAGAAATTTTTTGCAATTATATTAATAACAAATGGCTGGCAAACGGCAAGCTACATCCAATCTGAACCATGAAAACTGGGATCAAGAAGACGAGCCAGAGGAGCGCGGCACATTCCGAACAGCGCCCCCCGAAGAACTAAAATCACGCGTTATTAAGAAGGCGACAAGGCGCAAGCCTCTAACCGGCTCATCAGAAGGCGAAGATGCCGGCGAAACTCCAAGTAAAACTGTATTCAGCGGCTTTTCAGGTGGGTTCCGGCTGCATTAAATGTGCTTGTTTCATTCATAATATACGTATATAAATTTGTAATTGTAGGTTTCGGCAAGCCAGCAACAGCTGCTGCAGCCAGCGGCACACCATTTGCATTCCTGTCTAATCTGTCGGCTTCAGCTTCTGCTCCAGCTGTATCTAAATCTCCAACTACAACAGTCGCCGAGAATCCTCCAAAGCCAAGTGGTATCTTCGCCAAGAATGATGTAACATCAGCTCCACCAGCTAAACAATCAAAAGGAGAGTCAAATTTAACAACAAACATCAGCAACACAGCATCAACTGTACAAGTAAGCGCAACTCCGTCGATTTTCGGAAATACCTTAACTAACGATGCACTAAAGGCTCCCGCCTCCATGCTCAAGCCAACTGTGCCTGCCGACAAGTCAGAGGCGTCGGGCAATACAATCAACGCCTCTAAAGAATATCGTGATAGTGTCGCCGAATTGAATATGGCTGTAATGAAATTTCTGCAGGAGCATATGGATAAAAATCCGTATTGTATATTGAGCCCAGTGTTCGAGAGTTACGATAAGTATGCGAAGGAGTTGCGAGAGAAGGATGGAATTAAATTAAATGCAGCAAAGACTCCATTGAAGGCAACAGATGCAACAGCCACACCAACAACAACAAAGGCAACAGCAACATCAGCTGCAGCTGAAACTGCAACTACAGTTGCTTCTGCTGGCAGTGGCTTCTTTGGTAAGCCGAGCACAACTTCCACCGAATCAACGTCATCATCATCTTTGGTATTTGGTAAACAACCAAGTTGTACCGTAACAAGTGGTGGCACCACAACCGCTGCTACCACACCACTGTTTTCGTTTGGCACCGTGCCACGGTGGGCAGGCACCACACCAACCAAGTCGGAAGCCACATCCAGCACAGCTTCGCCAGCAAACATTTTCAGTTTCGGTACCAAGCCAGCAGCCACAGCAGCTGCAGCCGCTGATAAAGAAGAGCAGCCCAAGAAGGGTTTCTTCTTTGGTGGCGCAGATCCACCCGTTGTGGCTTCTGCTACAGGTATCACTCCGCCAAAATCAAATGGATTCACATTTGGCGTAAAGAATGACAAGCCGATCACATCTGTTTTCTCGGGCTTTCCCAAATCGAGCAGCGATACAGCAATAACAGCACCTAGTGGTTTCTTTTCCAGCAGTTCAAGTTCCGTTAGCTTTGCCAATGCGAAACCCAATCCAGATAATGCGAATGCCGACAACAACGAAGATGAGGAGGATAAGCCACCAGTTGTGGAGTTCAACAAGGTAATGCTCAAACACTACCTGAATAGCTAATCTAATATTGATCCGTTTTTATTATTATTATCTTTTCAGGTAGTTGAAGATGACGCCGTTTACTCGAAACGCTGCAAAGTGTTTGTGAAAAAAGAGAACGATTTTGTTGAGCGTGGCGTTGGCACCTTATACTTGAAGCCAGTCAAGGACTCGGAAAAGATGCAAATGTTGGTCCGTGCTGACACCAATCTGGGCAACATTCTGGTCAATCTGCTATTGACTAGTGGCCTACCCTGCAAGCGAATGGGCAAAAACAATGTCATGATGGTGTGCCTGCCAACGCCCGAGGAGTCAAAGCCGATGTCCATGCTGCTGCGTGTAAAAACCGGAGAGGACGCTGATCAGCTATACGAGGAAATTACAAAGCATACAGTCTGAACCAATAATGCATTCGCTAGATGAGTGAATTTTTAACTCACATTTATGTTATTTGATGAACGTTTATATTAACAAATTATGAAAACATGATAAAACACAAATACAATCAAGTGTTTTGGACTTGGCAATCCCTGCTTAGTCCACAGAGGTCACAATTACCTTGGCCTGAATCAAATCTCTAAAGTTAACATTTAAAATGGGGGCGGCATCTGTAGTGTCATCCAAACGGCTGGAATACTGTTGCAGTACATCAGCAAACTTATCGGAATATGCTACAAATTGAATAGAATTTTTATTAAAGTCAGTTGCTTATCTTTTCAGTTGTATTTACCGATTACAGCGATTGTGATGGATTTCGTACGACGATTCACGTAAGAGCAGGTGCCCGCTATATTTTCCGTAAACGCTATTGGCGGCTTTGCTCCCTTCACTTTGGGCAGCTTAAAGATTATCGTTTCACCCACATTGGGTAAATTCTCCAAGGGGGCTGCATTTTGTAGCATATCTTTAATAACGTCCAGTGACGTATCCTTCAATGGCACCGCTTGGACATCCGAATCAGAGTCATCCACATTTGTGTCATCCAACACCATAACATCGTCATCCGAGTCGGAGTCCAATAAACTTTGTGTTAGCTCCTTGGCCTGCATTTTATTCGCCGATTCTTGCTCCTGCTGTGAGATCTCTAAAGAAAGCTGAGGTAAACTCTTTGGTGTCATTGTCGTATGCTCCAAGTCAGCTTTAATTGGTGTAACCACTGCTATAGATGTCTCTACTGATGGTTCTAATTGCGTTTCATCCATTTTAGGCTCGGCTGCAGGCGCCTTGGCAGGAATTACAATTTCCTCGATAATTTGAATATCTTTGTGTTTGCGCGAAAGCCTAAAGACGCGAACAGAGTTCATATCTAACTCCATTAGTTGACTACGAAATTCGACTTCCGGTTCTACGTGCTCCAATTGCAGGCTCTTCTCCACAGTTGTGCCATTTGGTGGCACATTTTCTTCATCTTCATCGTCCTTATATAGAATATGATTGTTTGAAACACTTTGTTTGTTGAAACTGCTGAGATTCCTAGTAGTGCGATTTGATTGATTTGAGATGCTGGACTCAGTGGCAGCCGTGGCTGCTGATTTATTATTATCAACGCTGCTAATATATGAGGCCCGTTGATCGTCTTGCATCAATAATTCAGTTCCAAGGTTTGATTGATCCTCGCTCCCTACTCCATTTGTACCATCTCTGATTGAGGCCGGTTCCACATAGGTGACCTCATTTCTTGTTATACTTTTGCATTTGGAACGCTTGGGCAGATTGGGAGTGGAGCTTATCAACTCATTTTCTGTTTCAACCGAGCGATTTTTTCGTTTTTTGCTTGTTTCAGTCGGATGCGAAAGCTCCTCATTAGAATTGCCGGTTGGATCTAGTTGAAAAGCCTTAAGCGATTCTGTCGACTTGATTACTTTGATGGACTCCTTCGGGGGCACATAACATCCTTCGCTGGTCAACAAACTTATGTTCTTCTACAAATGGATTTAAAAACACTTAATTTGAATTCATAATTGAGCAATCAAAACTTACCAAATTGAACAACTTTTGAATGTGATCTTGCAGATCTTTAACATTCTCCCATGATACATCAACTAACACCAACGAGCAGCGGCGTTCATCACAAAAGAAGTTGGATAAATCCAATTTTATGGGAAAATTGTGCATTCTGCTCAAATTGTCATACCGTTCAAAATATACTCATGCACTAACCAAACAAGCTTGCATGTGAATACAATATGCTATCGGTGGCTTATCGATAAGCAAAAACAAATCGAGTAACGATGGTCTGATTCTTGTGATTTATTAACAGATAAATTGCATGCAGGCTGTAGCCAAATTACCATATACATTATTTAAGTTACTAAAATTATAATAAATGCCAGGATGTTCATTTTTAGTTTTTATACAAAAATATACATTTCATATGTAAATATGTGCATATCGTAGTCTGTTACAGGGTATTGCACCGTCAAATAACCGCAATTGTTGCATTTGTACTCAAAGTGCGCAAAGTATCGATAAATGGAACATCCCTCACAGAGAGCCATACCACTTCTTGTATACTACTCCAACGAAAACGAAAACAAATAGTTTCCTTATCACTTTAATATTAAGTTTAGTCATCCGAATTCCTAGTATGGATCATTTTGTGATAATGCAACGGATATAACAACCAAATAGAACTCGTTCGGAAATTGACCAAAATGAGTAACGGTGAGAATAACTCAAATGCACGAAGCCAAAACCAAGGCCAAAGTGCTGCTGGAGGCAGCGCGAGTGGGAGTGGATCAGCGAGCACGGCTAGCTCTTCTACAGCCCAACATCGATCCAGAAATGCAACCAGCCAGGAAATACTAGATGCCGGCAGCGATGAACAGGGTACGCATATTAATTTCAAGTTCAGCTGTTGTCTAGCTAGCCTAAGCCTAGTGAACCAATAGGCACTGCTCATAAGACTAAACTAAAGACTAAAGTTTATAAATTTCAATTCTCCACTCATATTTCCTTTCCATGTGCCTTGTAGCTTCTGGTGCAACGTCTGCTACAAAAGAGAAGCGCAGCTGGTTCTACTCGTTGACCAGGCGTAAAAAGTCAGATTCTGCGTTGGCCAGCTCGAGCTCAACAGTTGCTGCCACCAATGCCGCTGGCGGCTCCCAATCAGCGCAGCTGCAAAATAACAACAATGAACCACTGGGCGCCGCCATGGAGGCCAGCTGTTCTAGTGCCGCTGCATCCGATAGCAATAGCAGCAGTCTGGGTGGCGCTTTGCGTAAGCGTAAGGATAAGAAGAACATGCTCTCGCGTATCCGAAAGAAAATGGTATTGGGTCTGAGTGCATTGCGCAACTGGCACTCTATGGGCGATGATTGTGATTGTGATGGCGGCACCACAGATGCCATGTACGAATTTCTGGCGCCACCAATACGTGTAGAACCGACGTTGCCCTTCACCCATGACTACATGCGTTTCATAAGAAAAAAGTGGCTGGAGCGGCAGGATCCGCCAAATGAGGTCATGTACAAGGCATGCTCCGAAATGCTCAAGTATGTGGAAAAACCTGTTCGATGAATCATGCCCTAAGAGATGACGAATTAACTTAAATTCTTACTTTCTTTCATTTCTTCTTTTGTTTACAGTCAAGTCTGGTACTGGGGCGAGATTTCGCGTCGCGACTCGCAGCGTCAGCTGAGCGATAAGCCCACCGGTTCATTTCTGGTGCGGGACTCGGAGTCGACCGGCTCTCATTTCACGCTAAGCTTTCGCATTTTGAACGTGACGCTGCACTACCGTCTGGAGTATCGTGATCAGTTTTGGCATTTTGAGGAATTGAAATATGAGTCGATTGTCGAGATGATTGAGGACATTTTGCATCGCTGCACCAATGATAATTTCGTGTGCTTCGTGAAGGTGCCGAACGAGATGCAGCCGCCATTTCCAGTGATACTCAAGTATCCATTGAGTCGCTACTTGAACATGCCCAAGCTTCAGGATCTATGTCGACGTGTGCTGCAGAGACAGATGCCAGTTAGTGAGCTCGCCCGGCTGCCAGTGCCGGCACAGATGCTCGAGTATCTGTCCGTGGAACGTGAATTGGTATTTCAAAGCTAGGCAAATGGTGGTCCTGGTATAAGCTTTAAATCCAGTGTTAGAAACCAAAGAAGGTTAGAAGAGGCAGCGACGCAATTAAACGGCACTGCCACAAATTATAGATATATATAGTTGGAATTGGAATATCTTAATCGTGATCGTGGAAACTTGAGATCGAAGACAAACAAAGAAACACTCAAACACATGCCATAGGTAAAACACAAGCAAAATGTGACTAGTGTTTCATTTGCATTTGTAAACAAGCAATTAAAACACGCACAAACGAGAAATCGTATCTATATATAGGTATATATACATACATATATACATATACCACAATGAATACTGTGCATATGTATGAGTATATGCATGTTTTTAATCTATAACTGTATTAAATATATTTGTATTCTTATATACACACACGTATATACATAGATATATATAGAATACACATATGTTATTGGCCAAAATTAGTCTATTAACTCGTTTTCCATTGGTCTTGGTCAAAGTCTGTACGCCTAAACGATATTGATACTAATTTATACTAAATATATATATATATATATACAATATATGTATGTGTGTGCTCTTTCAAGAAAAGTATTTGTATAAATAAGCTCAAAATATTTGTGTTATACTACATACGCATTTGATTCCTAATGTCAAAACTAACTTTTGCTATTATACTAGATATAAATATGCTATATACAATATGATATACATACATATATGTATATTCATAGATCACTTGAACTGTGCGGCATATGTTTAACTATTGTTACAACGTGTATTGACATTTATTTAACACTAAACAAAAAACAGTATCTCTAATTTATGTTTGCATATATTTTATCAAAATAAAAGTAATATTAAAAATTAGCCTTATATTTATCTACATTATTATAATTAACTGATTTCATCCAAGTCCCCGTTATTCTCATCACTGCTGCTGCTGTTTATGTCCGGCACGTTCGGTGACTGGCATACGGCGTCTTCGTCCGTCAGATCTGCCAGACCATAAATCCGATATGCTTTAAAGTCCCCCACCTTTTTGCCATCCACATAGTTAAAGCTGAAGAAACAACTACGACAGAGATATGAGGGATCGTGCAGTTGCCGGCGCGACTTCTCCACTATGAAATGATAGCCACGCAGGCCGCACATATAGCAAGCGCGTCTATTGAAGGTACTGAAGGAGCGCAGAAAGGGATAGTGACTGGGGTTAATGAATTTACTGGCCGGCCTCAACACCTCCACCTGTGAGAACACAAACAAATGCTCGCAATTGCCATGATGCAGATACTGTACAGGTGCACCCAGGCTAATGGTTAAATCGATGAAGCGAGTCGCCTCCATTGAAGCCACCTGGAACTCTTCTTTCTCCAAGCCGTGTGCTGTGCTTGCCCACTTGATTACAGTTTCAGAGTAGTCACAGTTGTTGGGATTGCGGGTATCATTATAGAAGACTCCGTTGATGAAGAAGTAGCCAGGATCTGATTCCAGCACAGGCAGCGGCGCATGTGGCTGTTCGCTAATATCGACAAATCGTTTACCATTGCATATGCAAGAGATTTTATCTCGTAATTCGCTTAAAAAATTTCTACCTAGGCAGACGAACTCTTCCGCAAAGACAGGACGCTCAAGTTTGAAGCTACGATGCGCTGCACGCGGTGGCCTATAAAACCGAACGGTTAGCTCCAATTCGAATTGCTCAAGGGTCTCCCACATTACAGGTGAATCATCACTTGGTGACGGTTCGGCATTCAAACGATAACTGTATTGTGTTCGGCTAAATGGATTTTTGCGGGACTTCGCCTTGTGCTTATATATGGCTGTATAGGTCTTTGGCACAGGCTTATTCATGTTTGGTTTCGATACATTGGGACGCTGTATCTCGGCGCCCAGCTCAAAGGTGTCGATTACATTATCGTCCGGGGCATCAAGCAGTTGCAAGGAGCAGCTTTCTGCAACTTCTGCTGAAACAGGTGGGACCTCTGAAAAGTAGAACGGAACATTCTCTGAACTTTTTTCATCTGGATCGTTTAACTGCTTGGAATAATCCTCTAGGAATTGACGTAGGTTTATTGCTGGTTGGAGTGGTTCGAGTACGTTTTCCATAATTTACTGCAAAAGATAATCAAATCATTATAGGTACTTTTTTGAATTGAGATGGCAGCGTGTCATGCACGATCTATGTACGTTCTAATTGTTTTTATAATTATAAGCATTTAATAACATGCAATTTAACAATTATGGAGTTGTATAATTCAAGAATTAAATGAATACACATATCATAAAATACATTTGCTAAGACTTCTCAGAACACGCTCCCATCTCTAACGTAAACATACATTTCTTATTTTTCCTCAAGAAATTTGTCAATCGCTTCTTTATATGTAATATTTAGCTTTAAAGTATGTGGCTTTGGTTCCTGTTGCTGTTCCTCGTCCGCCTTAATATCTTGTGGGAGATTCTCAATGTAAACCCGATCAAAATTGATTACCTTGTCGGATTTATTTAGATACTTATATTGCTGTCGGCAAACTGGCTCATAAAGTGGATCGCCAACTGCGCTCTTGGTGTCTTTTTCGAAAAACACATTAGTGCCCATACTCATGTCATAGGAACCTGCAAGTATAGGAAGGTTAAATAAAAAAAATTCCTTGTTGATTTATGAACACACATGTCGCATGCTATACCTTTGTATATATTGCCATTGATTTCAGCCATGGGCGTATCGCTTTCAATGGCAATTATGCGAATAGCAGCATCCTCGTGCTTTAGCTGATGCGGTGCAAGATGATTTTTAAAGTCAGCATACACCAAATATTCGGTTTCTTCGTACTCACAGTCAGAATCGGTCATGATGTTAGAAACTGAATGCCGGCTTGTTTAGCTAATGCGATATGTTTGTTATCGATAACTAGCATGCTCTGAGCGATAATTTCAATTTACCCTCTCTAACAGTGAGGCGAATACATTTTCGCTGCGTTTTTTTGCGTTGACAAAATTGTTTCTGTGAAAATTTTGTCGAACTGTTGTAAATGCAGAAATATTAGTAAATTTAAATGCTGCTGTTAGTGTCCGAAAGCGTGAAATAGATAAATATTGATACAGGTCAATCGACAAATTATCAAAACTAATATTAAGATACAATTGTTTCCGTCGTTGGTAGCGTGCGGATTATCATTGGGCAGCGGCCATTTTGAGCGAACGCAGAAACGTCATCAGCAGCAGCGCCTTGCCTTGTATTTTTGACGTAAGTGCTGCTGAAATCGTAATTTAATGCGGAAAATGTTTCTGTATATCCATATACAAAACGGATAAATGTGCATCGCCAATTGTATTGTTGTTTAATTAAAAGCAATAACAGCGCCAAATTGAGAATTTATGACACGTACATTACTATAAAGTGCGCCTCTCTTTGAGCATGTCCAATTAATCGAAGTTTCGCTTGCTCTTTTACCACACGTTCTCTTTACAGTGAATTATAAACATCGATAACTACCACAGTGCCGCTGTAAGCTTTTACGCGACAAAGTTAAGCTTAGTAAATATAAACAAAACACCAAAGTTCAAAACTCCCTCCTCCCCTTAAATCAATATAAAATAATTATAATGGCTGATGAAGATATTACTTTAAACGAGGATCAGCTTCTGGAGTCGCTGGAAGAGACAAACGGCGAACAGGAGGCTGGGATTGCGACTGAAGCAGAGGTAAGCGTAAGGCGTCAACAAACCAGTTTTTTTTTCCCATTCGCCTTGAATTCGAAAGCACATTGAAATTCGCGGAAAAAGCTTTGTCTGCTTGCAAAGCTCGCGAAACAAAGCGGCATTTTTTTTTGAAGCGTCTTCTCCCCAGACACACTTCGAGTCGGCTAAATCATAAAGCATTCTTGGCATAATTATAAATTAAAAAATAGCAAAAAAGTAAATTATTGCATATATCTAATTGAAATATTAAAGGAGGAAGGCAGTATGCAAATCGATCCAGAACTTGAGGCTATTAAGGCCCGCGTCAAAGAAATGGAGGAGGAGGCTGAAAAAATAAAGCAAATGCAATCAGAGGTAGACAAACAAATGGCCGGCGGTTCGACAACCGGTTTGGCCACTGTGCCGCTTTCACTTGAAGAGAAGCAGGAGATTGACACACGGTCCGTGTATGTGGGCAATGTTGACTATGGTGCATCTGCCGAGGAGCTGGAGGCACATTTTCATGGTTGCGGCACCATAAATCGTGTTACTATACTATGCAATAAGGCTGATGGTCATCCGAAAGGTTTTGCCTACATTGAATTTGGCTCGAAAGAGTATGTAGAAACGGCGCTGGCTATGAATGAAACACTCTTCCGAGGACGTCAAATTAAGGTGAGTGCTATCAAAATATGCGTGTAAAAAAGTTTTATATTAAATGTTCCTTTCCATTACTCTTGCAGGTCATGTCGAAGCGAACCAATCGACCTGGACTTTCAACCACAAATCGCTTTGCGCGCGGCAGCTTCCGAGGCCGAGGAGCTCGCGTCTCTCGTGCCTGCTGTCATTCAACTTTCCGTGGCGCTCGACGCGCAATGTAAGGGTTAAATATATACATAGTTCCGATATTAAGATGTTTTGGCTAATTCCGGTCTGTTTTTCGTTTCAGAAGAGGTTACCGCGGACGCGCCAATTATTATGCGCCGTATTGATTTTTGTTTTCTTAACTTATGTTTAGTAAGGTAAGTTGACTGATGATAATCAAAAAAGAACTATAGTCTGAATGGGTATGCCTTGTAAAATGGAAAAAGTGCTCAACTCAATCAAACGATTTAAGCATTTTTGGTATTTACTATAGCATTTATGCCCTCCTTTGTAAATACGAAACAGTCCGCTTCCAATTGCCATATGGTATTGCCTGCCATCGATTAGTTAGCCAAAACAATCTTTCTATGAGACTTCATTATCCAGCTATGTATATATAAAGCTTCTTATACGAGAGTGCACTAATAATTGTACACATCTTAAATCCTTAAGAAATTCGTATTTTGTTCATAATAATTATCCGTTCATTGCCAGTTTGGCATTGTGCCTGATTCCTGTCTATCAACTGCCTCTCTATATTCTAGAATTTTGGGATCACTTTAATAACAACTAATTAGTTTTATTTTTAACACATTTCTTTAATCCAATTAATATTTGATTTCAGATTTTTTTAATATATAATTTCAAAAAACATTTTATTGCCAAAAACTTCTTTGCTAACAAAAAAAGAAAAGAATACAAGAGAACGCAAAAAAAAAAATATTATGCATAGAAATAATAATAAAAAAATCCACAAAAAAAAAAAAAAAAAAAAAAAAATAAGATGAAACCCAATAAAATGAAAAAAAAAAAGGAAAAAAAAAAAGAAAATATATAAATAAAAAAAAAACG